TGGGCAGGGGCTGAAACCACTACAGCACTGGATCAATTTACTCCTGTCACGACCATGTTAATCTAGGAATTTATGTTTTCATTCTCACTTCCAGCCAGGGAATAATTGCCCTTTTTTCCCTGCAGGTCCCACGCCAGCCTCAGATCAGGATCCAAGAAACCTGTGTGGGAGATGACCCATTTTTGCTGTGCTGCAGTTTTGCCTTCTCTGCGCTCAGAAGGCGGGGATCCTGCCGGGCGCCTCTCAAGCACCCCGCGTGGCCTCAAACCCCGCCACTCGGGACAGCGCTCCCCTCCCTCGCTAAGGGGAACAAGTCTGGGATTTTACACAACTCTCTTCAAGAGCATTTTGCAGCTGCCAGGGCTGAGGGGCTGTAAACAGAGCAGGGGGCTGAGGGGCACAGCAGTCATGGAAAAGAACCTTGCCACCACGCAGGAACTGTATTTTAGCACATTTTCAAGACTTGCTTACAAAAAGGGAAGCAGTATCAGCCCTGTTTTTGACCATAATGATAGCAGCAGCACCTTTTAAGGCCACACAAACCACTGCATCTCAGGCAGGTACAAGAGCGGACACGTGCCGGGACTGAACGCTTGCACCGGAGTCAGCTGGAGCTTGACGTACATAGTTCTCCGATTCCTCCCCACAATCCAGGAGACAGCACGGGTTACTGGAGCTGCATTTCTCCTGGGCTGGTACAGATGCAGTCTACTGCCTACCAGCAATCTCTTTGGTCCTCTGCAGATGTAAAACATTTTTTTCCCTTACCTTTTACAGGAGCAGGTTTCAGTAACAGACACCTAATGCTGCCGGTCCGTGCCCCCAGCACCACCACTACCCTTGCACCTTCCCGGACTGCAGTAACCGGAATGGCCTTTAAGGGGAAGCAAAGCTGTCCTTTCAGGCTGAGCATCTTTGTGCCTCCCAGGGTGGACGCCAGCACTTTGCTGCTCAGCCTGCCAGCTGGTGCAGAAGGAACTGCTCCTGGACTCAAATAACCCTCTGCAGGGATCCACTGCCAGAAACCGTGACTCTGTGCCGAAGCCGGGAAATTCACTGGCTCACTGCAGCGGCTTTGCAGCCTGAGACTCAGGATCCAACTTACAAGTGTTTCCTCAAAAGAGGAGCAGGGATAGAGCTGCACAAGCTCCGTCCTGCAGAACACCAGTCCAGCTGCCCGGCTTTACGCTGGGCAGTCGAGATACAAAAAGGATTTTCCCAAGTTAGGAGGAGTGCTAGGACCAGCATCAGGCGCAGCAAGAGCAGGCTCGCACCTTCAGCCCTGCAGACAGGGCTGTGTCTCCCTGTCTGCCTGGCCATGCCTATGGCAACACTCATCGTGCCAGACGTGAGGCCTCAAGGAAACACAAACATTTTCCAGCTGCGAACTTTCATACTTTCCCTGGGCTGAACACAGAACTCCCAGACAATTCACACTGCCTTCAACTCTGTGACCTTAACAGACTATTTTATATATAGAAAAATAACTTTGTAATGAAAGAAGAGGTTAGGAGAGTGAAAAAGCAGAGTTCTGATGACAGATATTAGGGATTCTACAGACTAGGAGGCAATCTCCCCAAAGCTCTGGGGTTTACCGGTGTAATGGCAGACATTAAAGGAAGACCCAGACCTACCTCCCACATCCAAGTCCACTTTATAGTTGATGAAATGGGTGTGTATCGTACCCAGCGTGTGCTCCCAAACCCTGTTGCCGTATCTCAGACCATCCCCATGGAGAAAGGAGGAGCTCATGTACCCCGTGGCCTGGACCTTGCCTTCAATGGCCCCGTTCTGGTAGAAGATGAAGTCCCACACGTAGTCATAGTTGCCCACGGTCGCAATGGAGCGAACGACCAGCGCAGAGTTGACCAGCCCCCCGTAGTAGTAGAGCGACTGCAAGTTGGAGTAGTGGCGCCTCAGAGGGGAGCCCAGGTTCTGCTCAAAAATGCAGATGGCATTTTTACTAATTCCAGAGGCCTGGGAATGGGCAAGGTAGTGCACATCCAGGTACGTTGCTAAATAGGGGCAGTCGACCCCTCGCACCAAGGGGGAGGTGTGGCGCCCGATGCCAAAGCTCCCATCCATGTACCTCGTTGACATTCCTCCGGGGCAGTTGGAGCCATACACTGACAATGCTTCTTGGACACTGATTTCATAGGCAACCCTCTCCCCCTTGTGTCGGATGTCAAACAGGCGCAAGCCCGTGTTCACACTCATCCCAAAGGCAAAGCTCCAGGCCTGGAAGAGGACGTGGTTGTTCCTGACGCTGTAGCGGGGACCCTGGGGCTCATACTGCAAAGGGAACAGCGCAGCCGAAGGTGCTCGGGGCTTCATGGATGAGAAGTCCCCATCCCGCGGCGCCTTCCTCACCTTCTCCACGCTGATGCGACCCTGCACGTAGGCGCTCTCCAGCTGAACCATGTCCCTGTAGTACTGCCCGTTGTAGAAGACCCTGCTCACCGCCCACCGGGAGATGTCCAGGCTGCTGTGGTCCACCAGCACCTCCAGCCCCACCGGGTGCACGAAGAACCCGCTCACGTTCTGAAACAAAACGAACCAGGTGATTCGATCTCCAGACTGGAATCCACGGGGAGCGGCTGTCAGGGCTGCTAGGCTGGCTCCATCATACTCCATTACTTGACGCATGAAAGATGGAGCTGCAGGGAACACTTGGCTTTTTAAAAACCCTGCAATCTGTTTGTATTCAACAGCCAGTGCTGGTCTGCGGTGGTACGGCACCTTCCCCCTGTACTTCTGCACCGTGACGTCCCGGTGATACACCGGTGTCGGCAGCGGACCCACCACGTACTCGGTGACGTTGGGGTCTGGCTGGTTCCCAAAGTACAGCACAGCCAGCGCCTCCCGGGGGGGGCGAGGCCCCCCACCATCCAGGAACCGCAGCACCTCTGCCTTGGCGGGGACCTGCACGTCGATGGAGGCGATGCAGTTGTCGGAGGGCTTTGCACGCGAGGCGTCAACCAGCTGCACCCCGAGGTTTCCCTGCAGGTACCGCACCACTTGCAGCATCTCTTCGGGCGTCAGATCGGCAAAGACCAGGCTCTGGCCGTCGTCGGTGGCCTCCTGCTCCAGGGGCTGGTGCTGGCAGGGGCTGGGGCCCCGTCCCCTGGTCAGCAGCACACAGACCAAAGCAAATATCGTGGCTAAGGCCAGAAGGAGGAGGATGAGCACGGTTTTCATGTGCATGCTGCTGCTGGTCCTGAGGCATTCACAGCAGCTTTCAGAGCAGGGTTTCTAGCTGCTGCCTCTGTCAGTTTATGCTGCACTGGATGGATTAGCACGGAAAGTACAAAAGACTGGGAGAGGCTAGGGGAGGAGATCTGAAATTCGTGGTGACCAGAAAGGGCAGATCTCCTCTCTCAGCTGCAGCCTTCTCCGTCCTTCTCCACGACCAGTGCCCTGAAAGAACTAGTGGAGATGCAGGGTCAGTGACTCAGACAAGTTTCACATAATTCTGTTACTTTTTCAGTCCAACCTAGCTTCCTGAGGCTGCCTGTAAAAACGAAGATCCTGAGTCAGCCTGAGGTGGCTGGGACCACTGTGAGGCTCTGACAAGCTGGGAATTGTTGCCATGCTGTAGAATTTCACCTCTTTGCAACTCACCGAATTTCCTTGTTTATCAGGCTGCTTCCTTGTAAACATTCTCCCTGGCAGCACGATTCCAAGCTTGGAGTTACTTTTTATTTTATTTTTTTTAAATCTTCCACATGGAAGCCTTTGCTGAAAACACATCCATCTGCGTAGCAGTAGAAAAACTTTGGCAGGCATGGAGGGATATAGTTCAGGATGAGATTCAGGCCCCAATACGCTGTGAGCAACTACCTCTTAGTTTGCACCTTTGAACAGCTATGAACTAATCAATCCCCCAGCATTCCACCGAAACAAGATCGCGCAGCTTTTGTTTCTGACTCCGATTCAAAGATCAGCTGAGGTGCAGCTTCTGAGAAGTTCCCTCAAGGACAAAACCATCCTGTGGCATCCAAGCAGGCAGCCGATGGCAGTGCCCGCTGTCACAGTGCTGCCAGGCTACCATTGCCCAGGCTGAGCAGCCACCTCCAGCGTTTCTACCAAAGGTTGTCACGACTGCCTTCTGCCATCCCCACCGAAGGGGCCTCGGCTGGTCTCACAGCACCGTTGAAAGGCCTTGGCAGAACGAGGCAGCCAGACAACAGGACTCGGTGCTCCATCCTGCCATGCAGCAGATGCTTGGGGTAGACAAGATTCAGCGCTTCAGCTACAATCCCTGCCTGTCCCTGAGCTGGTGCTGGGAAGCACAAGGCATGCAAGAGAACCAGGGCTGGAGATTCAACCCAACATTTCCACTCCAGCTGCCAGCCTCACCTCACCTCACCCTGGCCTTCTCTTCCTCCTCCCATCAGTTTCCCGGTGGGAGACAGCCCCCCCCAGCCTCAGCGCTCCTTCCAGTTCTTCCTCTGCAGCAGATCTTGCCCTGGACACAGCCCCTCCACGGTCCTCCGGCCGTGCTTACCAGACACCACACTGGTAGGCAGAAGGCCACGTTGCCATAGGACACACTCCATTATCCTCACCACCACTGGCAGCCTCAGCCTTCTTTAGCCCAGGCTGAAGCTGTGCAGGTCACGGACACGCACGTCCACTCCGTGCCAGCATGCGTCATCTCTGCCTCACTGGCCGTTGCGCCAGCAGAGCCGCAGCAGTCAATTCACGTGGCCGCTGGGCCAGGAGAGGGGCTCGTTCTGTAGCATGGACACAAGCAATGGGGAGAGACAGGAGAGAAGAGAAGAGAGCCTTGGCTACACGGGATGCAACAGCTACAGGTTTCAGAGGTACCCTGCTCTCTTCGACTTTCAACTGGCCTCCAGCAGCAGAATCAGATGCCTCTGAGTAGCCCTAAATTAGGCAGAGAAGCCCTGACTTCCAAGTCAGTCTTTCAATCCATGAAGTCAAGTCTTCGAGGATTACTTGGGGTTAGGCTTGAAAGAAAAATTCCCTTTTGGTGTAAGCCTAGAACATGGTATCCATGTCACTCAGAGTGCAGAGAGGAAGCGATGTTGCCCCAGTTAAAGTTTAGAGCAGAGCCAGGACATGCCTCCTGCCTCCCAGGAGTTCCACAAGCGTTCTGCTGCAACACACACCTACACAGCTGAGCCGAGACAGCTGCACGAACCTCTGAGGCTGCATGCACAATGCTCACATTGACATTTGCTTAAAGAAGTACAAAAAGAGCAGATCAGTTCTGACTTCGCCTCTTGGTTTTGCATCCCAAGTCCCTAAAGGTCAAGGCATAGGCTGCAATTACAGATGGTCATTTTCTAAGCAGCACAGCAGTAGTTTAAGAGAACTGGACAAACTCCACAGGCCTTACTGCCCCGCAAATCACCACTCAAGCCTGCAGCTTGCCTGGGAGATGTCTGAAAATAAAGTATGGGAACACTCTTAGTTCTGTGCATGTTGGGTGTTTGGAAAAAAAGAGAAATCCTAACATGTAATGACATCCCGACGACAAACCAACCCACAGCACACACCCCAGGTCTGCAGGATACAGATGATGCAAACGAAGCTTTCTGTGCTGCCTCTGCCCCGCTACAAGGATACGTGCCGTGGACGCCATGTCTAATACCACGTTATTTAACACTGTCCATTTCTGCTGTACTTTTCAAGCTGAGGACTTTTAAAGCCTATTACAAGCAACACAAGAATCAGCCTGCATTTTCTGGGAGCTCTGTCTCAGAATAAACAGAATGGTCCTAAATCCATCTCCATCTTGCAGTAGAGATTTCAGGAAGCAGAGTAATTAACTGAGCCCGCAAAGCCAGGAAACCCGTGTCAATACCGTGCTGATGAAAAGCGATCAGGGATCTTTAAGGGCCATGCATACCACTGAATTGCTCATGTACCTTCTCCAAAAGAAGCCTGAAGCAGCTTAAAACTAACCTAGAATTTAAAAAAATTACATGTCTCACTAACAGCAGCGTAACTTGTTTATGACCTGTTTGGTGCACACACGTCTTCCCACAACTCAGCTCCCCAGCCCGATTAGCCCGTCACTCTGTCCCACACCTAATATGGAGAATTCACATCCTACCGATGTTTATTTTGGCTACACGGTTGCTGTTAGGTACTGCCCATCAGTATATCTTATATTTGCTAAATTGTCCACTTCTCCCAAACAAAGCAAGGAAGAGAGCGGTTTGCTGTTTTTTGCTCGCACAGAAAGGTAGATGTGGCAAAAAATAGTCTCCGAAATTTATAGAAACCAAAACCAGAGACAGACAGCCTTTGGCTCAGGGAAACTCAGAGTCAGTGACTGCCAGACAGCTAAAGAATACAGTACAGAAACCCCCTTGCCAACTCTCCTGACACAGGCAAGTCTTAAGCAGCCAGACCTCAGACTCTGGAAAACTCCCGCTCCCATTCTCTCATCTCATAGGGTCACGTTGTGTCAAACAGAAAGGTGGAAATTGCTTGACCCTTACCCATACCAGCTGCGTTTCTGGCAGTGTTTGCATCTGCACACAACTGCTGCGCCTTTATGCTCCTCTCAAAGTTTTAACAGTCACTGCATGTAAGCTGGGATGTCTCAAGGACCTGTGAATTAGAGCCCTGACGGCACGCTGCCACTTCTCCCGGAGAGCAAAGCAGAAACCACTGCGCTGAGACTGAGGGGTGAAGATCACGGATAACAAACTCTCCCCTGCTCCTGTGGATGAACCAGGCTCCCTGCCAACACCCCCCAAGACAACTGTCCTGGATGTTCCGTCCTTGCACAGGACTGCTGGCACAGGCCTCCTGGGAGTTCAGTTTCTTCTGGCTGTGGTGAGGAGGAACCCCTTGCGCTGCACCACATCGAGTCCTGCCAACAACAGTGCTTCCTTTGAGCTCTGGCTCCAGCCGTCTTGGCCCCCAGTGACCCGTTTCCAGCTCGACTCCCACCTTCCCCGGAGCGGCTCGGGCACCAGCAGGACTTTCCCACACCGCAGGAAGCACCGTGGGGCAGGCGGCCCTGCGGGAGGCAGGAAGCATCTGTCC